TATGGCGTTATATCCCCGCCAAAATTCAACCTTTTGTTTGCAACATTGTTGCTTTGAATTAATGCTCGTTTTTACAATCCAATATTCAACGTCTATAATTCAACATTGCGCATTCACGAATCAACATCCATATTTCAAATTCAGTGTGCTTCGTTTACATGCGACATTCGTCTGTGTGTGTGCGATATGCTTGCATCGCAATCCAACATTCTTGTTTTCCGTATTCACACACCAACATCCATATTTTAAATTCACCTTCCGTTCGTTTAAGTGCGACATTCATGCCTTTCATTGCTATGTTGATGTTCGGTGTGTGTGTTGCGGTGCAGAGTGCGATATGCTTGCAGCACAATGCAATATTCTTGTTGGACATTGAACTTCACGCTTGAGCAGGAGGGAGTCATAAACTCGTGAGCGCGGCTGTCCGATGTGTCGGGCCATCGTGACGTCACAGCAAAGTGAAGCGTGCGACGAGCAGAATTTTCGAAAATGGCGGTGTTATTGTTTTTCATGTGAACACTTTGAGCTTATTTTTCCCGTGTAATGAAGCAGCAATGTGGTTTGTCTTTTGATCGAGGATACCATTACCTTATATTCCAGCGGAAGAGGTAAGTGTATTTTGATTACTGCGTGAAAATTCTGCAAAAAAGGTTTCTGAAGCGTTTTGGTGAATCTCCAAGTTAGGAAAATTATGTGAGTGCGGTGCGGCCTTTCGCTCGACAAAAACTCGTTTTTCTCTGGATGAAAAGCATGAGAAAACTTGTAGCTTCGCTCCAAAGTAGTTTATATCTGACAGAATCCATATATCATATAATAAATGCCAGGGAATGAACCACAAAAATGATCAGTGCATTTATTCGAATCAATTTCCTCCGTTATAATTTTGCAATCTTGTTGAAGTGAGGTTGGTTACGAAAATTTGTTATAAATGAGCTGTTTTGTAGTTATTTCGGTTCTTCAGTAAGACGTATATAAGTATACTGAGAGTTGTTAGGCTTACTATGATCTCGTAAAAGCCCGATCGTGGAGAAGTTCACTCTTTTTGAGGCACTACCACATTTAATCTAAATATTTGTTTAGCCCTTGAAAATTTTTCGTACACCTTCTGAAAGTTAAGTTATATGTTAGGAAAGCCCCGGCCGTGGTGGGGTAACACTCTTGAAACAAGACACCAACAGGGTAATTTTAAACCGCACTATCAAGCTTGCCTGTGTACATGTATGTACACTGTATTTCACTTTCAATACCCTGGCCTCTCAACATCTAGTAGCATAGGCTGTGTATAAAAGTGGGACGGGGACAAGGGGACGGGGACTTGGGGACGTGAGATGAGGGACTTAAGGACATCAAGTATGGGACGCGGGGACGTGTGGGACGGGGACGCGAAGACGTGTGGGACGGGGACGCGGGGACGTCAAATACAGGGATGCAGGGGATGCGGGATGTGAATGATTATTGCAAAAGTTGGAGGTAAATGCATCACTTTCCTCGTGAATATGTTTTGGTGAAGGCAAACCACCCTGCCCTCGTTAGGGTTCCTCCATGCCTGTCTACGAAGTGAAGACTCAGCGAAGGCCCGGGCTGCATTAAAGAAAGTGAAACCGTTGTCCTGGTCTTCTTGCTGATGGAATATTGGAGCCTAAAGCAGGGTAGGGTGGGTTGCAGTCGCCAAAAATTATGTAGAATAACAGCATTCGATTCCAGATAAATAAAAAATTAAGTGGCATAAGCGAGCTTCGAATCCCGAAGTGCTATAATAACTCTGAAATCCATCGCCTGTACCACTAAACCCCGAGGGATTCAACTATTGTAGCAATATTTATTTTGTTCTACTGGCGCGTTTTTGGCTATGCACGTTAACGCAAGTAAAGTTTAATCACGTAAATAAGGTAGAGGCAAGATATAAATTGTTGAGATTAAACGTGAAGTTGAGCGAGATTCTACTGATACGCTTACGTGGACTTTTCATATATTGCCTCTATTTTATTTGCGAACGTAAATTTTACGCACGCTTACTCCTCTTATAAAGAAATATTTTGTGTATAAGGTGTCCAATGTGGTTTTGGAAGATGGAATCTAATGTGGACCATAATATAAATAACTCATTTTCACGAAGAAAGAGATATCGCATTTACCTCCGACTTTTGCAATAATCATTCACATCCCGTGTCCCCTACGTCCCTGTATTTGACGTCCCCGCGTCCCCGTCCCACACGTCCGCGCGTCCCATACTTGATGTCCTCAAGTCCCTCGTCTCGCGTCCCCAAGTCCCAAGTCTCCACACACGCGTCCTGATATCCCCGTCCCTTTGTCCCTGTCCCACTTTTATACACAGCCGGTAGCATAATGCATCAGTCAATTGAAACCCCAGCCTCCTGATCCCTGAGACTTAGCGGGGAATTTAACATTAACACCATTAATTTTTTCACTTCCCGGGCCAAGTAGTTTGTTAAAAGCACCTTATGGCAGGAAATTAGTAGTTGTAGTTCTAGGCTTGATTTAAACCGCTCTCTTCAGTCTGGTACTCTGTATTTATTAATTTTATTTTCAAACCAATGGACCTGTTAATAGAAACTCAACTGTGTTCCATCAAATTCATGAGGAATGTCATCCCTTAGCTGAACTTTTTAATTGTTATCAGTGCTTCCATCTGTTCCAAAGTTCACTTTTGTTTTGCAGTGTGCTTTTACATTTTAGGAGTGGGCACTTGGTTTCTTTGCTAATTGGCTAGTCCTGACGATTAACTTCATTCTGGGTTTTCTTTTGTTGAGTAACGGCAACTCCTTGCTTTTGATTCTAATTTTGAGTAACAATTCCTGGTTGCCTAGTCTAGCATAAATTCCTCAACCAATTGATCAGTATCCTGGAACTACCCTATCCTAGAGTAAAGTGCTTGAAAACCATAACCTTCAGAGTGGAACATACCTATATAGCCCATATATGCACAACCCCCCTCTCCCTTGGAGGAAACAAGGGCTTCTAAGTCACTCATGTTAAATCCCTCTCTCTCTGACCCTGCTTCCAAAAATGCATAAATTATGTGCTGTTAAATCCCTGCTCATAAGCTGGCTCAAGCAGGAATTTTGTTAATTCCACTGCACCCAGGGCCAGCACCTTGTTGAATTAAATCCCTGCTTTGCCCCAGAGGGTCGGGGACGGGGGGAAGGGTTTCAATTGACTGATGCATGTAAACACTGCATCCTTTACTCATTTACTTTGTAACCAAGAGTACCTAATCAGTCTCTCTAACTATATAAAACAGTATATAAATCTTAAACAGGTTTTCAGTAGTATCTATGATACTATGGTGGTGTGTATTGGTAATGCTAATCATTTTCTGTTTTTTTCTACAGGATTAACACTACTTAGACCAATGACGTTTCCAGGCTTACATGTCTTACAAGTGAACAGAATTGGAGACTAGACCGGCAGGCCTCTCATTATTACTTATTCTCTTGGCCTCTACATCATTGTTCAATCAAAACATCTATGGTCACTCCAGAACATAACATTACTGATCATCTACTTGTTCTTTTTTGTTGTTATTGACAATGTGATGAAGATTTATACCTGGAAATTATTTTCGTGAAACTGCTCACAGACAGGATTTTTGAAGAAAAATAATGAATAATGTGTTTTAACCAGCATAGCTTTGAGTCAATTCATCACTGGAAGCTTTAGCCTGAGAATGCAGACAGATTTCCAGTTGTACTTTTTAGTGACGTGAAACTACAACCCAAAATGTTTTGTTTAGTTTGATTATTTTTTTCCTGGCCCAGTGCTTCTTGTACTGTCTTCAGTAACATGACCTGTCGAGACATTTTTCCTGACTTTCTTTTATTTCTAAAATAAGATTATCTTGCATAGTTCCATGGAAAGTAAAGAAAAAGTGTTAATAAAATATTTACTCTATAAGTATTTTGTTGCTGGGATACTTGGGTATCAGCTCTAGAAGCATAATTTCAGGTGAGGTAGATATACTCCCACATAACAAATAGTTTCCTTATACTTACCTCTGAGAAGCAAATGGAGCAATTATTATTTACCAGCGAAAAACTTACACCCGAATAGCTTCGGCAATCGAAGCATGTACAGTGTAGTTTAGGTGAAATGTTTGAATCTGCACTGATAGTTGGAATATGCGGACCCCCATGGAAACAGGTACTTCAGATTTCGAGCGTTTATTAACCAGTTTAAAAGGCGTCCTTATTACCATTTTTTTGGGGGAAGATTGAACGGTATAGCTGAACCTTGACAGACTATTTGTCCTCTCATTGAGAAGCGATTTGGTACCTTCAGGAACTCTCTCCTCAAGTGGTAAGCCGTTATCAAATAAGCTTCAATGTCGCTGTCTAGGTTCGAAGTAAAAATGTTCAAATCACCGAGTCACTAGCCTTAGCGTTCTGTTCACAATTCTGAGATATTTTCCACCTATCCATAAAAGCCATTGTTTTGATTCTGATTTTTTTCTTGAAGGTATTGTTTTCAGTGGAAGGCTCCTGTAGAATCTTGCGTCAGCCCAACTGGCTATAAACGTAGTATGGGTGTAATATATTTCTTAAGCAGTTTTGTAGACTTAAACTGTATTCAAGCCCCTCTCGAGTCCAAACATTGACACAAAAAGATACCCTCGAATTAATCGTATAACTCGTTTCAATTCGAGAGCTTTATTGCTGGATTAGCTGGTTTATTTCTCTTGCTCTTCGCGGCTGACTGGTAAGGTACCTGCGGAAAGTAGTGTTTAAAGCCACTGATCATTTTTATGAAATTGTTATGAGATTTAATTTTTCAAAAACGAGAAAGAGTTTTGACCTATGTAAGTTACGTTTTTGTCTCCAAGCGCAGTATTGTGGGGTTTCTGAGTTACAGGCCATTAAAGATGATCTTGGTGATGTTTTTTATCGATCTGTAGGAGCGTTTGTCAACACTTCTGAGTCTTGTCGCCAGTCTGTTTTTTGTTTTCAGGTTAAAATTGCGTTATTGATACTTTATATGAAAACATCTGCAGCTTCGCTTTAGTTGTTTAAATGATTTGCTCTACTGTTACTGAGAAATTGGACCGTGAACTTTTCTCGACAAGCACTTAGTTTACCTTCTTTCAAACCTTCCCGGGCCGGCTTGAACGTGACGTCACGATGGCCAGACACATCGGATTTTCATTCGCCAATATCTGCTCTAGTGCCCAGGCCTAAGTTTATGACTCCCTCCTGCGCTTGAGTGAGCTGACCTTCAGATGGTACGCCGCTGTACAAAACATGTGGGCTCAAGAGTGGTCGGGGTTTGCATGTCAAGATGGCGGCGTTCAGAAGAGCGTACGACATCATCCAGCAGACGATTGAAAGTCTAGACAATCCAGCTATTACCTCGTTCGAAATTGATGGAATATCGCTAAGGCTAGACTATCTAACTCGTACACTAGTGAACCTTGATAGTAACTGTGCACCAACAGATGGAATTGTTCAACTTTTGGGGGAGACCAGCAGTTATCTGCGTGTTATGGATGTACAGTCGACTGCTTGTGCCATTGAGTTTGCCCCAAAAATATTTTCTGGAGGTCGTGGACGTCCATCGTTCGAAATCAAAGAGGAACAGTTGTCTTTTCTTATCGACCAGGGCTTCCAGGTCCCCGTTATTGCCAAGTTGTTTAGGGTATCGCCACGAACGATTGAAAGAAGAATGGCAAATTACGGCCTGTCGATTTCAGGTAGACTATTTTAAAACCACTTTATACTTTTGTTTTTATTTCCAGTATGTGCATGAATGCTCATTAAATATCAGTTTATCAGTTATTAATAAGATTACATGACATGGTTCAAATTTGGTTTTGTTTCAATTTTTATTTTCCTTTGTTTTGAAGTGGATACTTCCTGGCCACGGATATAGTTTACTCGCTCTACAAATACAGTCTAATAACGGATGTTTTAGATAAACAATTAAGAATAAAAAATAGCGATAATAGTTTAGAATGACGTTTAGATGACTCACTCATCATTTTCAAATTCATATAACTAAAGTCAGGTTCTTGTAAGTTCATTATATAATAAATTGTATGTGAAAGTCTTGTTGCATGTGATTAAAAAGAAATATAATGTGGAGTGTACAATCAAGGTTATGTTTAGTCTTATTAAAAATATAAAAGGTGAAAAGCCGATGTCCGGCTTCACGACGAACTTAGACCTGGCGTATAAAGTGAACCCTAACACAAAAGCTCAAAGTCCCTACAAAATGAACCGTGCTAAAAAAAACAAAAATACAACCCACTTCTATTTGCCAGCGTTAACAACTGCTCTGCAACGCGACGAAGTGTGGCCTTTGCAGACGTGTTCGCAGAGTTCACATTATCCGCCATCACTGCCTCGCCTGGAATAGACTGAGGAAGCACGTGCAACTATTTTGAGCCCACATGTTTTGTACAGCGGCGTACCATCTGAAGGTCAGCTCACTCAAGCNTGAACAGCAAATCGGACGCCACTTACACAAGGACTTATCTCTTGATGAGAAAACAATGCCTCATGTTTATGTTATTGTTAGCCGCATCTGAGCGCGCTGAGAAAAATCCATTGAAAATAAAATTTCGAAAAGATATTGTCGAGTCGTACAAACCTATTGTTTGGGCCGAGCCCCGACCAATTTCCATGTAGTCCATGTTGCAGAATGTCAGTCATTTGTCGAATAACCACTTATTTTTACCTCACATGCTCCTTTGCGGTCTGGGTGTGTACACTTGAGCCGCGACAACCTTAGATGAAATAGCTGTATCGCTCTATGAGTACCCAAGCGTCCACGGCCAAAATACCTAGTGGTATGGGCGCGTAGGCCTTACGACAACCTTTTCTAAAATAGCTGTACATACTAAACAGCACTGCACCGTATTCACATACCAATGTAAACAAGAACGCAGTAGCTACACGCACGCATTGCGGGCCTATTTTATGTTATTCCTAGTCTTCGCCCTTTCCTTTTGAGAGAGGTTAACAAGAGAACTCCGTACATGAAGAGTTTAGCTAGTGCTCATCAAAACTGCGTTCCATGTCATTTTGTTAAATAAAACGTTTTGATGAGCATCTAAACGTTTTTATGGAAACTATATTTATATACTTATAATATTGGAGGTTTACTGATAGTCTTAAGCCACTGTCTAAGCTAAACTTTAAGTAACCAGCTAATAAAATCAATTTTTTAAAAAACCGTCTGCTCTAATAACCTAGTAGTGTGTCGATCATCGATTCAAATCTTTAAGCAATGCGATAATTGATCATAGAAATATTTAATCAATTACCATATATGGAAAAAGAATGAAATTTCTTGTTGGCAAATAAATACTTGTATGTTGTCTTTTTAATGGTGTCGTAATTAAAAAAGAAAGAAAATTTGATTACCCGGAAGCATAGAAAAAAATTCTGAGCTTAGTGGTTCACAGTCAAAAGACTTTCAAAAATTTGTATCACATCTACTTTGATTGACAGAAAGGTGAAAAACAAATGGAATTTCTGTGGAAAGGTTTTTCCGACTACAATCAATGATCGGTCAGGTTGAAAGGTTGGCCAATCCAATTGTTTGGGGTGAGTGACTATAAAATCTCAGCCAACTCCCAACACTACAATAACAAGTGAGAGACCAGGTCTTTATCTCCTGAGCTTCCCTTTGACTAAAAAAGATAGGCTTTTCAATCAGTCACCAGACAGTGTTTCAGTAGACAAGACAAGATGCACAGTCGGTTCTGAACAGAGGTGAGGTGGTTAGTTATTCAGCCTCTGACTCTTCTTTTCTATTTCATATGGTAACACAGGTCTTTCCTTTGCACTTCTGACTGACAATCAAGGATCTTGTCATCTGTGGAAATCTGTATTTGACTTTGATTTCTCAACAGCTACTATGAAGTCATTCATTTGAATTGGTCGCAGATGTGACTTGACACTTTCATCATCTAGTTTAACACCCCTGTAAAAAAGAGGGAAATTTAGTAGGAAAAAGTACATTGAGTAATTTCTGAAACTAAACATCATTTTTTCATTCCTTAAAAAAAAGAGAGAAAGAAAAACTGCACTGAGGGAGAGTACTCTTGTTAGTGAGGGAGGACAGGGTGGTGGCAGCCCAAGATAAAGGGGGGTGGGAGGGGTTGGTAAGGGGGGCAGGAGATGAGAGATTGAGAAGTGGGAGATATAAGAGGGTGGGAAGTGAAGGAAATAGAGCGAAATTATGCAATCAAAAAAGGACTAAAGTGAGGTAGCAATGAAAAACCTATGCCTTATATATGTCACAAATGGGTTAGAAAATTCTCTAACACTGACATGTTTCCTTTGTCTCTGTCTTAACATACTAAACATCACAATGTTCTCTATAACTATGGTATGTGCAAATGGTTTCAGACTCTAATTGCGTCATTTAACACCATTTTAAAACAAGTTGCATGCATCGGTAATAAAAACCCTCTTCAAGGAGAGCCATACTGAGAAGTACCCTCATTCTCCAGAAGATTCGTGACAAAGCCTTGATAAAAATGTCCTTTCAGTGAAACCTTTTTGTAAACTTCCCTGGTATAGAACTAGTAACTTTGGAAAGAAACTTCCCTTCTAGATCAGAACTTTTCTACAATGAACATCAATAGAAGTGCCATGAAGTAGCCTTACAGTGTAATTACAAGTCCCTTATGATTTTCAGTTTTAAAATAGAACACAAAACACAACTTACGATGATTGAGAATTTTTTCTGGTTTTCATGAAGTCTCTTACACATGACATAGCTGCAACCCGACCTGAAAAACCAAACAAGGTGTGTTAAGAACAAAGTTACTGAATTGTTGCATTAATTTTGTTTAAAAGCATGTATTCTAGTCTTTCTGTCAGACGAAGTTAACGTTTTTGTGGGGGGTGGGGGGGGGAAGGGGGGTTCCATTGCTTCTCATCTTGCTTTCTAAGGAAATTTTTCACCTCGGAAACTTGTTAGCCTTGTCAAAAAACTCTTTAAACGGCGATAATTATCACTAATTTTAATACTGTTAGTTAGGAGTTCATTGAAACACTGATGAAGTGCTTGTGGATGTACTTAAACTAAAACTCACATATCTCCTTCAAACCACTACCAGAGAATCCTTCAGTTATTGCTGCTAATTCATCAAAATCAACATCCTCTTCAACCTAACAATGACAAGTTGCAAAAAACAAAGGAAAAGTGAACTTTAGAAAATACATGTAGTGTTTGACTGAGTTAAATCTGGGATATAAAGCATTCAATTTTTACTTTTATAGAGCTGTCCAAGTGAAATACAGTGAAACCTTCCGTAAGCAACCACCTAAAATGCCAAGATGTAGTGGTCGCTTACATTGAGTGGCCACTTACGAGAATTGATCTACAGGGTCAGGGGTCTTTTCTTAGGAAATGTTTGAATACGTCTTCATTTTGAAAGAGTTCATTGCATGCAATTTCGGAGTCACAATCTGGTAGTTTCATGTTGACACTAAAATTAATTTTTTTTTTGGCATTCTATGAGTAGCATATGCAGGGGGCAAAAGAAGTCATTTTTACAGCTTGCCAGTCGGGCAAGCTGAAGCTAGCATTTACTTGCCCAAACATCATTTCAACTAGCCCCCCCCAAATTTTTTGATGAGCAGAATTGATTTCACACTTCTTCTGTAAGTTGAATTCCTCAAAATAATTCACTTGTCCTTCGGGCAAGTTAAGAACAGAATTCACTAGCCCAGTAGCAAAATCCACTAGCCCCGGCCTATCGGACACTACTTTCTTTGCACGATGGTACGTAGTACATTCAGTGAACATTAGAGTTAAAACGATAGGGCGAGTGGTCTCTTACAGGGGTAAAAAATGGAAAATTCTACAAACCATCATCCAAAAAAGTGCTGGAGGTCTCTTACAAAAAATTGGTGTTTTGGATTGGAGGTTTCTTATGGAAGGTGGTTGCTTTACAAGAGGTGGTCGCACATAGAGGTTCGACTGTATTACATTCACCAACACCACCATTAATACTGCGGAGTCAAGTAGTATTCTCTTTGATATATTAGGAGTCTTTGGTGAGAGAAAAGATGCCAAACTTAAGTCAGCAAGTTATTCAGACACCTTCAAGTGGCCTACACGTTGGACTGTCATTTCCACTGTACTTTTTATTAATTACCTTTTCCCCCTGGAGAATTATGTTCAAGATTTCTTTGCGTTGTTCTAAATTCTGATGAAAAAAAAAATTGTCAGTACATACACATTTAATCAACCGTGCCTATAAGATCTTGGGAGTTATTATGGACAATGACCTGAAGTGGAACTGTCATGTTGATTACATTATTAAGAAAGCTTGTAAGAAGTTATACTCCCTTAGAGTTCTCCGTAGAGCCAGGGTGAGCCAACCCAACATCTTGCGGATATACCTTAGCACAGTGTGGCCAGTTTTAGAGTATGCTGTACCAGTCTGGCAGAACGTCCCTGCTTATCTGTACGAAGCCATAGAGCGAGTGCAAAAAAGGGCGCTTAACATAATCTACCCCAAGGCAGAGTCATATGCTCATGCCTTATAGTTAGGTAAACTAGATAGGTTAGATGACAGAAGAGTACTCTTGTGCTACAAATAATGGCGAAAATAAAGTCCCCCAGCCACCCTCTGCACCACCTACTTCCCAGCCCACTTCTGGACGCACCTAACTACACCTTAAGGCAGAAAACACAAAAGTATTATCTTTTCAGGAACATGCAGGTCTGTAGGACAAAGAGAGTGGAGGACTTCTTTACATTTAATTTTTTAAGTGATTCAATTGTTATTTTCATTGTTATAACTGTAAATTACTATACTCTAGATAATAGTTGCCTTATGATTNCTTGTGCTACAAATAATGGCGAAAATAAAGTCCCCCAGCCACCCTCTGCACCACCTACTTCCCAGCCCACTTCTGGACGCACCTAACTACACCTTAAGGCAGAAAACACAAAAGTATTATCTTTTCAGGAACATGCAGGTCTGTAGGACAAAGAGAGTGGAGGACTTCTTTACATTTAATTTTTTAAGTGATTCAATTGTTATTTTCATTGTTATAACTGTAAATTACTATACTCTAGATAATAGTTGCCTTATGATTGTAAAATGTACTTGATAATTCAGTTCTTTTTTACTGCAAGTTAGTTTTAATAAACTATTCTATAAATATACATCTGCTAAAAATTGTTAGCTGTAGTTAATTCAATTCAGTTAATTTTACCCAGAAATGCAAAGGACTAGAATACAAGATTACACCAAAGCAAATGAATTGGGTGAGGAAGCCCAAAAAGAAACTATAAAAGGAATGTTTAACTGTAACATGGTAAACTAACCGGTAATCCCACATGAAAAGTACTTGGCATTCTTCGGAGGATTGCTCTATCAACATCTTGAGGTCTGTTAGTGGCACCCATAACAATAACCTGACATGATGAATCAGTCATCAGACCTGTAAAACAATCAAACATTTAACGCCATGGATTTAAATTATTTATTTACGACCTAAAAAACCAAAAACTCAGCCCACGTTATTATTACTGTTATTTATTATTAAACATCAATTTCTGTGTTACAAAATTTTGTTTTCTCCTACTTTGCAAAATGCTTTACAAGCAAAAAGATTTTTTGAAAATGAAGAGTTGCAAAGAATGAATTGCAGAAACTATTTTAATGTGTGCATATACAAATCAGTTTACATGTACGAAAGGATTGTGGCCCTAAAAAAAAAATCAGGAAAGGGAAAGCGTTTTTATTAAATTAGTCCTTTTAAATTTTGATTGTTTTAGGGAAAGCATTTTTTTTATCAGTTAGTTCTATTATATTTAATTCGTTTCTATGTGATGTAATTTCACAATGTAATACTCTTATGAACAATATTTGTCATATTTTAAACATTTAATGTAAAGCCCCATTGGACATCATTGGAAATGGCACTATATAAATAAATTATTTCTATTATATATGAGATATACTAGTGTAATTGCAAGTGATTTTCTCTCTCAACATCAGAGTCCAAACCATGGACTTTGGGAGGCAAAGACTTTTTATTATCATCATTATTATCATTATCCTTTTCATCATTATTTTTATTATTACTAATTTAGTTTCTCCATGCTACTATCCTTCCATCTATTTATTACCTTTTAGATTTTAATTTTTGTACGGATGGTAAAGTATGAATAAACTTAAACTGATAGAATGTGCAAATGAGAACACCCATGCCACTTCTTCACCCTACTCTCTTGGCAGTTTAAGTACAGGAAATTTAAAAAAAAAATTTTCTTTCTTGACCAGATCTGGCCTTCATTGACAAGAGATATGGGTACAACATTAAACAAAATGCTTACCATCCCATAGACTCATAAACTGTGCCTTCATCATTGCTGTAGCTTCATGATCAGTTTTGTCTCGCATTCTAAGAAAAGAGTCTGAAATGTACATGTACACAGATCAATATCATATCTTCAGACATATTGCACTAAAAATTCTACACATAAATGCAAGCACAAAATGCATAGGGAAAGAAAGAACAACTTAAGCATTTATAGAGTCATTCACGTTGCCGTATGCTGCATAATTGGTTTGTTTACAGCCTCACAAGAAAACATACCGGTACCAACTACCTGACTGACAGCAATGGGAGTAACTTCATAAGTGATGCCAGAAAGATGCTAGCAAGAAACCTCTGCTTGCATGGTAGTACTGAAGCATTGCATTAACTGATGAAGAAAACCTTTATGCTTACCTATTTCATCAATAAATATTATACAAGGTTGAAGTTTAATTGCCTGGAAAAATAAGAAGAATAAGTTATCACAAAATTTAGAATAATAATAATAATAAGAGTAATAATAATAATTAATAAGGTAACTCTAGAGATACAATGGATGAACAGAATTAGTTTTGCAATAAAATTGTCCGTAGTTTTTCTTTTTCTTTGTTGAATTAAAAAACAAACTCATTATCATACAATACTATTCCCCAAAAACAAAAGGAAATAAAATTTAAACCAGGGATAAAATTGAACCACAACATATATTTGAAAAATAAGCAATAAGCAAAATCAATGCTTACCAGAGAAAAAACGGCAGCAGCAAGCTTTTGTGATTCACCATACCATTTGTCAGTTAAAGATGACACTTGTAAATTAATAAAACGACAACCTGAAATCAAGGGAGAAGGTACAGAAGGAAAATCTAAGATCGAACATTTATATCAAAGTAAAAAATAACCCACAAACATTCTTACCGGCTTCTTTTGCTGTGGCCTTGGCAATCATAGTTTTTCCACAGCCAGGAGGACCATACAGTAGTACACCTTAAAAATTTAAAAGAAGAAAGAAAGGGTCTAGCAGGTTAAACAACATGCCGTTTAAGCGAGGGTAACATTATCTTTTGTGGTTTCATCAAAGTGCAAGCTATGGTGCTGTGATATTATATGTTTCATCAAGTGTCTCTTGATATGTTACATCTGAAGTACAAATGGCTAGACTTTCATGTTGCCTGGATGAACACTTAAAAATTTATGGCCATCCCATCTCCAGAAGAGAACTCCAAAATTGTTTCCTCAGTTTAAGCATATATATATTTGTGCAAAATAATTATACTGATACTTAGAACAAAGTCTTTTTTACTGCCTCAGTGATAAAGAAACAGAAAGAACAAAAGGAAACAGGGTTCAAAAGCTTTTGTTTAGCCCTTCTATTTGTCCATGTCATTATAATAATAAATACTTTTTAAAAAAATACCTTTAGGTGCACTAAGAAGAGAGGAACTTTGAAAAATTTCTTTTTGTTGTATGGGTAAAATCACTGTTTCCTAAATGAGGATAAAAAGTAGAACAGTGTAAGTATAACTAATCACATGCATATACATCATTTATTTTATGAAATGAGCCTAAATTATACAGCAAAAGAAGCCTGAAGCATTTGAAAGCCAGCCACACACAGTTCAAGATTTGATCATCAACAATATTATTGTTTCAGCTCTCATTGTTTGGCAAATTGTAACTTGTTGAATACAACAGAGCCTATATAATGTTCAACAAGTTAAATAGCTACTTCAGCCTTCATTGTGGCATGATGCACTATTAAGTTAAGTAGAATTACAACATTCATTTGTTGATCAACAAAAAAAAAAATTAGTTAAACCATCTAATCTCTTGTTTGAAAAAAGTACCCGGTGTTCAACCTAGGCTGCCTTTTTGCATCATTGACACAGAATATTCTGTTCTGAACCAAAATGAAATTATCATGGAGTCATGCTGACACAAAAAAGTGCTTCCTGAAATATATATAAGTACTTCCAAAGCAGCAGGTAATAATAAAAGTAAATTTTAAGAAAAGGTGTACTTGCTAGTCAGAAATGAGCATACGGAATGACGGTCATTTAATTTCAGACTTTGTGCTTACAAGTAGTTTTTATGTCAGGTATTCCACCCAATTCTGAGAGAGACCAGAGCGTACGTTTGGACTCTCTGCATACATTGCTTTGCCGATCGATTCACCCTTCATTTGTTGACTTTATTCTTTTGTTTTTGTTCCATTATGAAATGGCAACAAAAGCTAAAGTGTAAGTTCATTTTTTACAAGAAAGAGAATGGCAGTTGAATATGAAAAGCTCTAAGATGTCCATCAGGGTTGTTCAAAGATTCAATATTATAGTTTGACCAACTCCATTTTTTAAATGACCCTTGAATTTAAAATGCCATGTGGGACATATGACCCACTTTGACCAATTTCTAGATTGAACACAGAGTACCTAACCAAGCTTTCTTAGATAGGAAAAATAATAACTGATTCTTTAAACCCATGAATGTAGGATGTCCAACATTAAATTTTATGACATGTGCCAAAACTGTAAGGGGCACTTTCCAAAAATCAGAACTGGCCAGCTAGACTAGTCGTTTTGAAAATGAAAGAGGCTCTTTAAGGAGTTTTCACAACAAAAGCCATCAACCCCATGCATGTATTGATTAAATTAATTGACTGATCTGGCTCAGGGTGCAAAGAAAATCATTTTTACTGCTTGCCATTCGGGCAAGCTGAAGATAGCATTCACTAGCCTAGACGTCATCTCAACTAGCCCAAAAAGCTTTTTGACGAGCAGAACTGATTGCCAGTTCTTCTGTTATTCGAATTCCTTAAAAAATATGACTTGCCCGTCGGGCAAGTTAAAAGCAGAATTCACTAGCCCGATAGAAAAGTCCACTAGCCCCGGGCTATCGGACACTACTTTCTTTGCACGCTGTGGCTGGATAGTTTTGATAAAAGGTGAAATTCTCATTACAGCAGGAATGGTCTGGCTAGCCAGTTTTGACAAATGGAAAGCACACTAAGAGTTCTTCGTCACCCAAACTCAAGACTAAGTTGCCAAGGGTCACAGGTACAACAATGTTTCACAATCATGTTTGTTGAAAATCAGAGAAATCCAAGATAAGAAATGCACTTTTTCCTGGTTAAAGCCCTAACATTCAAATGGAGCATAAGTGCTTAGTCTTACTTTGACTTCATCAATTGTTTCTCGGAGTCCTCCTATGTCCTTCCAACTGATTGGCAGAGTTAATGGATCCACAATATCAGCTGCTACTGTCAGCTCATATTCACTTAACTACAAGGTAAGTGGCAAAAACTACAAATTCATGTTATTTTTATTTTAGCATCAATGTTTACAACCAAAACATAAATAGACTTCAGGCAGCCCTCCCGGGCATCTGAACTATTAAAGTCATCCTTGTTCCAATAATTCCTGCCCATATGTTTGGCCTAGGGGCTCATATGTCCTACCATTGTACAGCTGTACCTAGATTTGATGAAATGCCCTCAACTTGCAATTTAAATTCTGATTGGCTTAAATGGTTTACAAATCCAACTTTAATGTTTTGTTGTTGTTCAGTAGTGAGACAGTGATCTCCTTTCAACCACACCAGATTAAATTAGCAGTTAACAACAAATCATGCTGATGCAATATTGGAAGTTTTTAAAACTAACCAATATTAACAACATCTATATAATATTATTTATTTTACTAGACATGCTTTAGTTTACAAATCACCTTTCCATTGAATGTTTCAAGTTGCCGGCTAAATACAAGATTTAGGTGAGGAATCAAACAGCTATTGATTTCGGCTTTTGGATCTAGTTTTCCTCTGTTTTCCTATAGAAGCAGCCGGGGATGATGATTATAGCAGCCAGGAGAAATCCCCGGCCCTTAAAAAACAGCCCTGATACTGGGCTGTACCCTACCTTGACTCCTTGAACACCAATTTTCTTTAACAGTTGTTCAGCCTAAAAAATATCACAAAGAAAGGCCAAAACAGATTATTTGTCTAGAAAATTACAACATCTCCTTATTGATACACCTTGTTTTTCTACTTGGTAACATCACTTCAGTTTGAAAATTAAGCTTCGTTTTTAGTCTGAAGCTTTTGGTTTGGTTTGACGTACGTACGCTCACCTGTTTTTGCGCAGCCAAGCGACTCTTTTTTGTCGGATCTAGCACATCTACCAACCATTTTACACCGTAATATGTCACAGCACCAAGAAGGATAACCTGTATTGCTGTGGCTATATATCTAGCTCGATTATCGGGCATATTTATATTTGAGACACAACAAAATCAGTACTGTATGAAGCATTTGCCATTGCCAGAAAAATTTCCTCCTCAATGCTGTCTGCGGTTTTCGCCAAAAGAGCAGGCGCTCGATAAAATTTTTGGCGCAAAGCATCCTGGGTTGTGATCACTTCCTTGGGAGCTTGAATCCGTCGAAAGGCCCTCTTATCTTCGGTCGGATTTCGTAAACTTATGACGTCACCCTCGCCTCGAAGTTTTTAATAATAATTGACCCGCCACATCATGTGTTACCTCACCTATCTGGGGTCCCCCACCCCCATGTAAACAATCCCTAATATTGTTACTTCTTGATGTGTCAGTATCGTTCATCATGCTTATAAAAAGTAAGGTACTGGAAAACCGCATTTTAACACTGTTTCAGCTGTTTGTTTTTTCTGAAAGGTTACCTACGATTTACAGTCAGCTACCGCAAAGGTACCCGTGCAAACTTTAAAAAGAGAACTCTATAGCACACAAAAATAACACAAGCACAAACTTATTAAAGAAAGTTTCTTACTACGCTTTTCAAAAACACGCGAATTCTGAAGTTCAGAAAGCCGCCTTCACAATTTCGTTTTTCCCTGCCGTCAATCACAATTACGATCACAAGCAACGAACCTTGAAACACAGAAGCACACAAAACGGATCGAAATCCACCAGATGTAAGCCTCTGTTTCTTAAGAGGTCCGCTAAGATGATTGACGGCAACGAAAAGCGCAAACGTCAGTTGGCTTTTGAACTTTAGAATTCGCGTATTTATTAGCTTGGGACCAGGCTCCGCATTGTGGGAAAAAGGAGAAAAAATCGGCGTTGGCGAAAAAAAAATAAACAAATCGGCCAGCGAAGCGAGTCGAGAGGTAGTATGGGATGTGGAAAGGGTGGTCCTTTCCCCCTTCCCTAGCCTCCCCGCAGACGTCCGTTGGGGTTCGTTTGTTGTCACGCATTCATTTGACAACAAACGAACAAACGAACAAACGAACCCCAACGGACGTCTGCGGGGAGGCTACCCCTTCCCAGGATACCGCTCAGCTCGCTTCCATTGCCGTTATTTTTCCTATTTGACACCGTTTTCTGCCTTTTTTCCCTACTGCGGAGCCTGGTCCCAGGCTACGTGTTTATGAAAAGCGCAGTAAAGGGACGCGTAAAACGGGCAACAAAAAACTTGCAACTTGTTTTGCAACATTGCTGCAAAACGAGTTGAATAACGATTTTGCGCGTTTTACCATCCACGTAAAAAACCTTGCAACCTCATTATCTGCAAGACAGGTTCGAACGCCCTGGCTCAGTCTTGCGCTGAAATAAAGGTTGCTGCAACTTGCGTGAATACCGACCTCTGGTTGGATAGAATTTAAAGTACGCGGAAAATCACGCCAATAGCATGAAGCGCATGTTTTTTTATGATGCTGTTAAACTCTGTAATGATGTTACCAGTGATAGAGACTTTATCTGTTTTTTAACTGCAAAAGATTTTAGGAGAAGTTACTTTGATTTAATAATGTGTAAATTTACGCCTGACACCTTCAGGATTGACAAAGTTTTTTAGCTTATTTGGTGATATTTTTAGTCTCTAGTTATATAGTATTTAACTACTTCTTAATTAGTATTTTAGCATTTTATATTCTAGTATTTTAGTATTGTAATAGTTTAGTACCTTAATATTTTAGTATTTGAGTAATTGATCAATTTAGTATTCTGTTATTGGTAGTAGTCTAACAGGGCCATAAGGGAGAGTACAGTTTTTCTACTGTAATTATGCACCCTATAAATAAAGTGTTCAAAGTGTTCAAAATTCACCATCTCCTTTACTATAATCGCGAGACCCAAAACTGATTGCAAGGATAGTCGTTTTTGGCCAAACACGAGATCTCACTGGAAAAGCCGGCAAAAAGTATTTGTGCGGGAAATTCCATTGGGACTATTTAGAGATAAGTGTGCTCGGAAAAAATCGGGAAGCAGATTCCCACCCCTTGATAAAGGACAATCTGGAAATCCATGGGGGAAAAAAATGGAGAGATTCTACCAAAAATAGTTAGATTTCTTTTATCCCCTGTTTAAGATTAAACAAACTCTTTTACAGTTGGGTTTTGTCAGTCATTCAGGTTTGTTTTCGATAGTAATCACTTTCCGGTGCCACGCATAACGATGGTGTGCCATGCCGTAACTATTTAAAGGGGCTATGTCAAGCAATTTAGATAATTTCATGACACATCACTGAGATGCTCATAAAATAAAATCATCATCAACCTACAACTGCTTTAGAGCAGTCAACCACAAGTTTCCTCCATCGATGGCGGTCTTGAGCCATCTCCAACAGCTGACTGTCATTTAGCAGGCTATTAGGACCCCCTAGAAGACAAGCAAAATAATTGGTGAACAGGGTTCGTTGTCTTCCGGGTTTCATCCTCCCATGAGTAGGAAAATACATTGCAAATTCTCTGACAGGCTCATATTTCGCAATGTAGTTGGTAATGGTCATAAACTCTGTTTTGGGTGCACTGATATCAAGACCAAGGTCTGCTGCGGCATCAGCAGCCCTGGTGAGCGGAGACTGGGCCTGTGACATTGAGGATTCCAGGAGGGCGATGTCATCAGCAAAGTCCAGGTCATTCAGCATTTTAGTTGGATATCTTCTCTACTGGCGAGGACAGGTTACCACTCCAGAGTCAGGACCAAATACCTTACCCATAAGGTAGTCAACAAGAATAATAAAGAGGAAGGGGGCCGAAGCATTACCCTGAAGAACTCCTGTTGTTACCTCAAAGAATTCGGAGATGCTTCCATACACTATTACTGCACTGCTGGAATTGCTGCAAAGAACCTGTATGGCATTGACTACACATTTGGGGATGCTGTCGGTGACGCAGCACTGGGAACATAGCTGTTCTTGTTGATCGAATCAAAGGCTTTCTTGAAATCCACAAAGATAATAGTAAGTGGGGGTTGGTATTCTTTGAAACCTTCCATGATTCTTCTCAGTGTGTGGATTTGTTGCGCAGAGCTTCGAGAAGAGGATCTACATGTGGTCGGATTCAATTTAACTAGATTTTATTATACACCATTGCAGCAATGGACATGAGAGAAATGCCTTCGTAGTTTGTCATCAGCGAGAGGTCACCTTTCTTGGGTAACGGAATGATAACATTGGTAATCCACTGACGTGGTGGAGATAATGAGGTATAAACTCTAAAGGAAAATGCATGGATGGCATCACGCATTTGATCACCGCCGCCTTGAAGTGCTTCAGCAGTAATGTCACAGTCCAAAGCTGTTGCTTTGTTTGTTTTCATGGCTGCAATTGCTTCAGTAGTCTTATCTCGAGTTGGGGGATCAGTGTTTATCGGAAGGTCTTCTGTTGCGGGAGGGGGTAGCTCTTAGGGTGTGATCCCATTGTCATCGTTGAGCAATGAGCCAAAGTAACTCCTCCACTCTTCTAGTAGCTCTTATTCACTATAGGCAGCCAAACCATCTCACTTTTTGACCTTCACATTTGCCTGGTGTTCTTTCCTGAGAGTTTATGGATGATGCTCCAAGTGGCCGTGTGTCTCCCAGTCTCATCAGCTAATTTCAGATCTTCCATCTGCCTGCTGAGCGTGGCAGATTCATCAGTTTGTAGGAATCATTGAGACTGGCATTTAATTTCCTGCATCTTTCTCTTGATTGTGGTGTCTTGGATTGAGCAAATTGCTTCTTGACCTTATCTCTCTCCTTCTTCAGGTGGATTGTCTTGTCGGATACCCAACTTGGTAGTCCACATGGCTCTCTTTCACCGACTACTTTTTCAGTGACTTCCATTTCGGTTGTTTCAAGGGACTTGTATCTTTCTGTGATGTCTACAGATACATCAGTCAGATGGAGTGCTTGGAATCGATTGGACAGTTCCAACTGAAATTCCTCTTTAGTCCTTTGGTCCTGCAGCTTCCTCTAGTTGAATCTTGGTCTCTTGCATGGGTTTACCTTGCTAGCTCTCGAGCTAGTGACTAGAAGGATGGTAACAATGCGGTGATCAGAGTCCAGTTCAACTGTGTTGTAAGTACGGCCGTTCCTGAGAGAGTTTACCCACTTGCTGTTGATCAGTATACAAAAATCGTAAAATTCGCGCGTCCTCCACGCCCTGCTTTAGTTTTTCATCTGCAAAACTGTGCATTCGAGAGTAAATTAAAGTTTTGGCCGAGAATAACAGCTACCAGTAAAGAAAGCGAACTCTTCGTCGAAGCGGAGCACACGTTTTCGTACGCACAGTACATGCGTGCGGTACAACGCTTGGCGATTGGTTCTCTCGAACTCTCGAAACGTTTTTCTGATTTTTATGACGTCAGCCTTCTGAAAATAGCAAAACTAATGGATCTTCTCGCGTTTCCTTCGGTGAATTTTCTCAAACGTTTGCATAAATTGAGACAGAAACCGTGACTCCCAAATGTCCATTTTTTACCAAAACTCTCGAAGCAAATTCAATGCAAGTGCAAACTGAAATAACAAATTCACTATTACTGTACTGGCGAAACTATCAGCTGAATGTCACCGAACATATTTCCAACGTGATAGCAAAGTTTTAGAAAAAAATTCGCGAAGGAAAGTCTGGGGCTGGTGCAAGATAATCGAGAAATAATGGGTAGGTACTCGTTCACTTTCCAGGAATTTTGTTTCCATGGAAACACTTTCTATCAACGAAGTGGCAATCGATAAATAAGGGCCACTATCTTGCCTATCTTTCCCGGAAATCGCATTGGAAAATCTTGCAAAACATAAAAACTACTTCGTCTTTTTGTAACTGTTGTAACCACTTGATGAAATGCTTTAAGAAATGCTATAGGAAGCCACCTTAAAACTGGCTCAGTTACTTTGTTATTCTAGTTTCTGACCAATTTCAGCGCCGTAGCTAGTATGAGGCCAACCGAGGCACTCGCCTCGGTAAAATTTTGACGAATTTCGCCGATCATTTTTATTTTACATAAGCGATCATCGGATATTTTTAACGCATCATGATATTACAAAGAATTCAGCAATTCAGTCAATATACTATGAAAAAATTACCATATCATCGATCTCAAGGGGCTACGTACGTTAACTCAAATTTTTTTTGAACAAATACTGATCAAAACCATTGGCGAGGTTAACGGTCACCCAGATTATGTAGCTTGTTTCTGATTATTGCTTTTTAAATTCCACTTAAATTAACTCGAAAAAAAGTTACCGAAAGGCCCAGAAAACGCTGCAAATCGCATTTCCGAGAGACTAAAGTTCAAAATTTCTCGGGGGGGGGGGGGAAGCCCCCGAACCCCCCTAGTAACTCCCGCCTGCCTCGGTTGGCCGTTTGGTCTGGCTACGGCACTGAATATGAGATGGTTCTGAGAATCAATTTCTCGTCAACCAAACTCATTGTGCGCCATAACTTGTCTACACTAAACCAGGCTACGCAATTGGCCCTTTGACAATTTCTTGACTTGACACTGTATTGTGATGGGTATCTCCCTCAAGCATTAATGTCAAAAGAAGGTCTTCCTGCGCGAACGGACAAGTCCCGCCTGTAGGGACTAGTCCGTGGGAGATGTCCCCTCGTGAGCGTAGACCTAAAGCATTAATTAGCAACTGAAAGGTCAAACAAACAGTTTCGACCATACTTTTCTCACAAATATTTTTTTACTCTTCCCCCTACGTACCAGGGAGGAGGGGGGGGGGACTGATAAGTTGAATTAACAGCCGTTTACTGGACTCCAAAGGCCTCCATATTTATACTGTTACAAATTCAGATCTGCCAACCCCTGATAAAGGGGTCTCAATGGGGTGGTGACTTTTACGGTTATCGGCTAAATTTTGGGCTCTTTTACGGCTATCGGTTAATTTTTTTCAGTTACGGTTAACAAAAAAGTTAAAAATTAACTTCTTTTGTTTCAAAAGTTAAATATTAATTAACCTGAATGTTTTGTATCTTTAAATCAAAATAAAGGTCTTCGGATCATCTGGGGGAAAAATTTGAAAAATTTTAGCATTTGATAGATCATACTTTTTATAAAGTATTTCACTTCTAATATTATTTTACACATAGAAATGTCAATAGTCAATTTAAAAATAATCTTTGTGACAAAGCAAAAGCGGGCACGCAAACGCCCAACTCAAGGCCGGGGCGCGACATTCATTATAACAGAAATGGCCGTTTTTACACTAGAGACGGATTATTCGTGTGAGACGGGTTATCCGTTTGATGATTCGCGTCAGATAGGTAATACTTCTTAATTTGAAAATGGAATAGTTTTAATATATTTTGAATGAACAATCCGCTTGACTTTATCCGTCAATTTCGACGGACAGTTTGAAGACGGGATTATCCGTTCCAGATAGCCTGTGTACAGCCACCCCCTCCCCTCAGAAAAAATTGGAGAAGGGGTGTCTGTGGGAAGGGTGTGACTGTACACAGACTAGTCTCAGACGGATAATCCATTTCTAGCTCTAGCGTGAAAACGGCCAATAACAAAATTCCCATGTCCAGTGCTTTTAATGATAGCGAAGGACTGTACAGAACGACTGTCTGCCGTTGCCTTGTCCGTAGGCCTCATTATCCCTCGCGGCTAATGCGTTTCGGGTCACGTGGTCCGAGCGAGTTCGCCACCGAAATGCTTTGACCGAGATTGCGTGGGAAGACGCCGTACAGGGACTAGGCCTGGCAATGTCTACCGTAGCGTCAGAGAAAAACAGGGAAATGCTGTTTATCGGCAACGTGTTTTACAAACAGTGACATCTCTGCGTGTTGTCTCATTAGTGTTTCGAAGGCACGACCTCCTGCAAATCACAAATATCAATCCCTAGCAAGAAGCCACACTTTCGCTATGGAAAAAATAAGTACCCCGAGAGAGCGGGGGAAATGGAGCCTAGGTCTTGGTCAACACCTGAAAGGCCCTTAGCCTATATAACGTGCGTACGGAGTCACACTAGCAGGGAAATAAAAGACGCAACCATAAATGAGTTTAGTACCTCCCTTAAAAGTAGCAAATCTAGGGAACAGTTTCTTTTACGGTTAATTCTTTTTTACTCTATTTACGGCTAACGGTTAAAATTTTTCAATTTTTACGGCTATCGACTAAGTATTTGGCCGTTTTACGCCTATCGGTTAACCCCATTGAGACCCTCTGATAACGGAAAATCTGGAGATCCATGAATAAAAAAACGGAAGATTCTGCCAAAAATAGAGAGATTTCATTATTTTTCACATTTTTTTTAGTTTATTTACGATGGTGATCACTTCCTCGTCCCACGCGTAACGGTGGTCTGTCATTATTTAAACCCGCTGCGTAAAAGGACCAGTTCGTCGGTGCGGTGTTCCACTGGATTAGTTTATCGTACTAGCATGGACCGTATTCATAAATGGCGGCGAATAAATTGTCCTTTTGTCTTTACGTTAATTTTCCTCACTAGCCTCGTTAGCATGTAGAAATTGAAAGTAATTTTTGCTTTAAAATGAGGCTAGCAGCGCCGTAGCTAGTATGAGGCCAACCGAGGCACTCGCCTCGGTAAAATTTTGACGAATTTCGCCGATCATTTTTATTTTACATAAGCGATCATCGGATATTTTTAACGCATCATGATATTACAAAGAATTCAGCAATTCAGTCAATATACTATGAAAAAATTACCATATCATCGATCTCAAGGGGCTACGTACGTTAACTCAAATTTTTTTTGAACAAATACTGATCAAAACCATTGGCGAGGTTAACGGTCACCCAGATTATGTAGCTTGTTTCTGATTATTGCTTTTTAAATTCCACTTAAATTAACTCGAAAAAAAGTTACCGAAAGGCCCAGAAAACGCTGCAANAGCGCGGAATAATGCGGCCTACGGACAAGGCAACGGCAGACAGTCGTTCCGTACAGTGATTCGCTATCCTTAAAAACATTGGAAACGGGAATTTTGTTATTGGCCGTTTTCACACTAGAGCCAGAAATGGATCATCCGTCCGAGACTAGCCTGTGTACAGTCGCGCCCTCCCCACAGACACCCCTTCTCCGCTTTTTTTCTGAGGGGAGCCGGGGCGGCTGTACACAGGCAACCTGGAACGGATAATCCCGTCTTCAAAAGTCAGGCGGATTGTTCACTCAAAATTAAAACTATTCCATTTTCAAATTAAGACGTACATTACCTACCTGACGTGAATCATCAAACAAATAGCCCATCTCACACGAATAATCCTTCTCTAGTGTGAAAACGGCCATTTCTGTAATAATTAATGTCGCCCCGGCCTTGAGTTGGGCGCTCGCTTGTCTGCTTTTGCTTTTTCACAAAGATCATTTTTAAATTGACTATTGACATTTCTATGTGTAAATAATATTAGAAGTGGAATACTTTATTAAAAGTATGATCTATCAAATGTGAAAATTTTTCAAAAGAATAGCTTATTTCATCCCGAGATGATCGGAAGACCTTTATTTTGATTTAAAAATACAAAAAAATACAGGTAAATTAATATTTAACTTTTTGAAACAAAAGCAGTTAATTTTTAACTTTTTCGTTAACCGTAACTGAAAAAAATTAACCGATAGCCGTAAAAGAGCCAAAATTTTAGCCGATAACCGTAAAAGCGACCACCCCATTGAGACCCTCATTTAATTTTACTTATGACCTCTGCCAAAAACCGTGGGAGTCTTGCCGTGAGACCGTGAGAAAAGACAAAAATTGTGAGACTCACGGCGAAAGTTGGCAGGTAAGCAAATTCTAGGAAAAAAAAACAGGATGTCTGTGAATAGAGAGCGGGATTTTACCGGGAATTGTTTTTTCAGTTTCCAAGTTCAAAGATCATGCCATAAGTGGGAGGTGTGGCCTGAGTTTGCTTCATTTAATAGCAGAATCCCATTAATTGTCATCATTTCGGCGCATCGCTTCCAGTGACTCGGAACTGAAGCTTACTGCAACTGGTGAAGTTAGGAACAGTCCTTTATTTAAGTTTCCTTTCTCCGGTAGGTCACTTTTGCTTGATATTTTTAACGTTTCCGACTGTTGTGTGACTATTTTAGAGTTTATGCTGTTTGTGAATGTCGGGACACCGCTTATCATGTTTAACAGCGCTTTTCACGGTTTATGGAAACCCCAAGCGAGCGATTAAGCTTCTGTGATTAAATGCGAGAAAAAGCTGAGCCGGGAATGAGTTTTCCGGATGTATTAACATCGGGTAGTTGATGAATAGGATAACCTTAAATCATACAGCAGGGAGTTCTTTGTTTATGGAAGTGATTACAAATATTTATCACTCATGGGTTTTTCCTTAACGTCAGGCATAGCCGGAAAGCAGAAACACATCTTGAGTGCAAATTAGACCACATAACTTGAAGCTTGGGGCTAAATTTTGCCAACAGTTTTGAACCCAATGAATTCGATTCTTTCGGTTGGCAAGGACGAGCCCCCTAGCATTGGACAGCGCAGAAACTCGCACAGCCTAGTTTCCAAGGTAGCCACAATTATTCTAAGAGATTCCTTTCTCTTTGTCGGAAAATACGTAGAACTACTCTTCTACTTTCTCAGTCAAAGCATGCACGAATGCAATACACTGTGTACAAGACCCGGAAATATTTCACTTCCTACTTCCGGTCTCCTTTTAGGGAGCTACACTGTTACAGGCGTTGAACGGAAGTATCACGATAAATTGATTGAAAATTTTTTTCTGTTGTAGAAGCGCCGAAGAATTTAACAGTTCACGATCCCGCGGGAACAGCTGTGTTCCCGGATCTCCTAATTACAGTAAACGGTTAGACTGAAGTTTTTATAATCCATGTATGTTTTATCGAAATAGACGTAAGAATATCAACAAATAGGCATACTTCTGCATGGAGTTCAGCCCATACAAGTAACATACATGTCGTAAGGAGCCACGTCACCTATTTGTAGTCTTTTGCATAACCAAAACTGAAAGCGATATTATTATCAAGTTGGGGGCTCCCCGCGGAACACTCTCTGATTTAATCGCATGATTATCCAGCCTCTTCGGAACGATATATATACATACCTTATTATAGGAAATTAACGCTCCATGAAATTAAGGTATTGGAAATAAACGCGACTTAAATTAACGCGAATTTAATGGCAAACGACTTTCGAATAAAGAAAATTAACGCGAAAGAGGAGGTAGAATTTCATAATAAAGGAAATTAACGCGATTAATTAAGCGAAATCAAAGGAGAAGATATTGACATCACTTCTGACAGCGATAACGATGAAGATGAACTCGAAACATTGTCAACCTTCGCCTCAGCTTTTGTTAAAGATGAAAAATAAAGGGTAAATGGAAAGAAAGAAAGCTTGTAGTTAATGTTTTTTAGGTGTCAAGAATGTCTGGACAGGTTCCAAAATTGGCGTTAAAATACTGGAAGTTAAGAGTGCGGAAATTAATGCTGCACTTAATTGACGTCGCGGAAATTAACGTTCAACAAAATTAACGTGACTTATAAATTAACGCGAATTTTAACGATTCGCGTTAATTTCATGGAGCGGTTAATTTCCTATAATAAGGTTTTTTTTTTTCGGGGGTGGGGCGGGGGCGATCATTTATTATTTTCGGTTGGTTGAGGATTTCCCTTGGGTTTGTTTTGCCTCAGACATTAGTTCACTTCAAAAACTGATCTTTTTTTTTCATTGTATTACTGTCATTTCGTGGACTTGTTCGTTGATGCTCTTTGAGGTTAAAATTCCTTTTCATATTTCACTGCTTAAACGCAAGTCTGTGAAACTGGTTTAGATCGGGAGCCAACGAATTCAAATTCGTTCGTGAATTTTCTACATCTTTTTTATTGACGTGGGGTGGTGTGTTAAAATCTTAAGCACAGCCCTGAAATCGAACACAGCTTTATTTGCAATACATTTTACAGGCTAGCTTGTGTCTGTGTCGTATTTCATTCTCATCGCTCTTTTCGTAATGATTCATAAGCCTTGTTCACCCTAGCAACGCGTGCGACGTAGTCTTAATCGCAATAGTAATCGTAAACAAAACAGTGTTAATAAATCCGATTCTTCTGAGTTGTGAATAAATCCGATCTACTGTAATCAGATTGTTGGCAGTGCTTGTTTATTGTTTACTTCGCCGTTTCGGAAATTTTAATGCGACCATAGCCTCCCCGCAGACGTCCTTTGGGGTTCGTTTGTCACGCATGCGTGACAAACGAACCCCAAATCCGGTTATGGATATTTTGTCAGTTGTTAGCTTTATCTGTGTGAATCAGTAATACTTACGACTCCGCTTGCAATTACATTGAATCGGTNGGTTTTTTTTTTTCGGGGGTGGGGCGGGGGCGATCATTTATTATTTTCGGTTGGTTGAGGATTTCCCTTGGGTTTGTTTTGCCTCAGACATTAGTTCACTTCAAAAACTGATCTTTTTTTTTCATTGTATTACTGTCATTTCGTGGACTTGTTCGTTGATGCTCTTTGAGGTTAAAATTCCTTTTCATATTTCACTGCTTAAACGCAAGTCTGTGAAACTGGTTTAGATCGGGAGCCAACGAATTCAAATTCGTTCGTGAATTTTCTACATCTTTTTTATTGACGTGGGGTGGTGTGTTAAAATCTTAAGCACAGCCCTGAAATCGAACACAGCTTTATTTGCAATACATTTTACAGGCTAGCTTGTGTCTGTGTCGTATTTCATTCTCATCGCTCTTTTCGTAATGATTCATAAGCCTTGTTCACCCTAGCAACGCGTGCGACGTAGTCTTAATCGCAATAGTAATCGTAAACAAAACAGTGTTAATAAATCCGATTCTTCTGAGTTGTGAATAAATCCGATCTACTGTAATCAGATTGTTGGCAGTGCTTGTTTATTGTTTACTTCGCCGTTTCGGAAATTTTAATGCGACCATAGCCTCCCCGCAGACGTCCTTTGGGGTTCGTTTGTCACGCATGCGTGACAAACGAACCCCAAATCCGGTTATGGATATTTTGTCAGTTGTTAGCTTTATCTGTGTAAATCAGTAATACTTACGACTCCGCTTGCAATTACATTGAATCGGTGGACACCAGATGGGAAGCATCGTTATCACAACGAAACTTGTCGGTAACGGGGCTGCTCAAGGCAGTGCTTACGATAACGATTTCTTATAAACATTAGGTTTTAACGCTCCGCACGATTACGCTTAGTTTTACTACGCTCGTGTGAACCAGGCTTTATACTATCAGATCCTTTGCTTTGTCCAAAATGTTATTAAGTTGGACTTAGCAATGGCGAATCAAACTAGCCTTTCTACGTCGTGTCATTTTCACATTTGTGTTTATATTAGCAGTCATTGCTTTCGATCATTTGAATCCTCAAGAAAACCGATTTTGCAATATTCATTTTTTTAATTATACCAGCATTTCTTTAGAGCATTTCATCTCCTGTAGGGAGGGTGCCTGGGTACACACACACACACGCACACACACTACATACATACATACATACATACATGCATGCATGCATGCATGCATGCATGCATGCATGCATGCATGCATACATACATACATACATACATACATACATACATGCTATATTAAACCTCCCCAAAGAGCTTTTCCGGAACAATTAAAAAACACCAATCAATCCATCCGTTCATCCATCTGTCCATCAATCAATCCATCCAAAAAATAAATAAGTAATTTAAACAATACCTATGAAATATGTACATATATAGACATATACACTGTAACTACAGTATGGTTAAATAGTAAAATAATATTATTGCGTTCTCGTACCTCGAACGCAACCCCTAATTTGTGTTGGGTGTTCTGTGCATTATTGGGTAACCTGTGCAATAAATAAGGAAGGTTTTTTTGAGATTCCATTTATGTTCGTCGTCGTCGTCGTAACCTGAGATTTGACTCTATTTTCGTTTCGCTTTGTAAATAACATTCCGGCGGGCATGGCGAAACAAAAAGACAGCCTGATACAAACCTTCTACGAAACGTCTGCCGCCCACTTTTTTGATTGATTGACATTTGCCGAATCAGCCAACCAAAATTACTTTCGTTGCTTGTTTTTCTAGTATGCAAATTGTTCACGCGTGGGAAAAATGCAGACTGGCTGACTTAAAAAATAGCTTTTATCTCTTGATTTTTTCAGCTAAAAATAAAACAGTCAGCACAATCACATTTAACTTCTTGCGAGATTAAGGGAGACCTCGAAGGTTATTTCATTTGGCGTAGAAGGTAAAAAGTTTTCGAAAAGACGACGACACGATGTTCTACTAGTGTTATTATTTTGGCTGGGCGCGCTCGAATTTAAATACTGAAATCTCTATTTTTCCGTTGCCTTAATATTTTCCTCGGCAATTTCCCCCGATTTTCAGGACATAAATCTTTAAAAACAAAAGCAAACAGCCAACGAGCGAGGACACTAGTTTTCTTGGTTTATTTTTTACAAAAAGCGAAGGCAAACAGCCAGTCTGTTAACGCTGAAAATTCCTTGAACAGCGATGCGATAGTTTTCGTCTAATACTTCACAGTTGCGATTGAGGTTTCTTTCGCAGTGAGCCTTCGCTTGCGTACCCCGTTCAGCGAAGTCATTCCCTGCTAAACTTTCAAATGAAACCAGTTTTAAGATGGGCAGTATTTTGATTTGCACCCGTTTGTTGGTAAATCAAAATGCACCTTGTTAGCGGTCAACAACTTGCAGAGGGATTCAACTCCGCGATACACTCACTTTCCGTAAATAAAGCAAATCCTGAGAAGATACGAACAACCATATGAATTTTCTGAATTTCCATGGCACATATTAAGGCATATTTTCCTACCATAAGACCATAAAACAATAAAAAAGACGGCAAAATCGATCCTTCTCTCCGCCGACGACGGATCATTGACGAAAACAACCACTCGAGGAATAAGCGCTTTCAACTTCCGGCGTTTCCGACAGCCAATCAGATCTTGTGGCATTGTTCTAACAGCCAATCAGCGTTACGGCCAAAATCTGGCCGTAACGAGCACAAACGTGAATGAGTTTGTATCAGGCCCAATTTGAGCGGTTGCCGTTAGAGAGAATGTATGAGAACCGCTCAAATTGGGCCTGATCTCAGGTTATCGTCGTCGACACACATTTGCCTCGCTTTGAGGCGCTTGCTTAAGTTGTGCCTCACTTTGACGCGCTAACTCATGTGGTGATTCTTGTGTCCTCGGCGTTCATCTTTCAAAGGTTTGCTAAGGTCTGATATTCTTCGTAAAGCGTTCATCTTTTAAAAAGTTTGCTGAATCTTCGTAAAGCGTACATCGATCTGTGATTGCTGAATCGTCCAAAACGTTCATCTTTCAGGAGTTTGCTGTTAAATTTTACTTTGGATTAAGCCTTCATATTTTTCAGCATGGTTCGTCACTGTCTTTGGAAAACGTCTGCGACTACTAGTGCATGCATCAAACCGGGTTTAGTTCGGCGGTCGTTATGCCACAAAGTAAATTTACCGAGTTGTGTAGCTCGGCGGCCGTTTTGTCACAAAGTAAATTTACGAGTTGTGTAGCTCGGCAGCCGTTTTGCCACAAAGTAAATCTACCGAGATGTGAAGCTCGGCGGCGCCATTTGACCATGACTTGTGATATTTTCGGCACCGGACAAACGAACACTTTAACTCTATTTTGTTTATTACGAAAAACTTATAAATCAGCCCACAGTAGCGCCACTCTCGAGTCACTGAAATCAACGCGCTAGACCAAATTACTGGAAAAGTTATTGACGTGAGCCGCACACACGTTCCATTGAAGGCTTTGATAGGGTTAGTGCGAAGTTTGAATTCAGATGTGAAAGCTTTTAAACCAGTAAATTCAATGTAATTCATTTTGTCAACAAGTTGATGATTGATGCTGTTAAAAATAACAGAGAAAATTATCCGAAGAAATGTTTTTGAAGAAAGAAAAAGAATCCCGGGTTAAGAACTAATCGGCCATTGAGAAACTGCGCCCTGTAACTCGCGCCAGTAAAACAAAATGTTCCATTTACACGTCCGACGCTGGCCAATGTCTCCTCCGATTAAAAGCACTTGGCACCGAACCATACGATATCTTTTGAAAACGTTCTTAAAATGATACACAGTTTAAATAGAGGTTTCTCTGTACGCAACCCTTACGTTCAAAATATGTCATAATCATATTTATCTACATCGCAACCATCCTTCCACCTCAACAAACATATCGAACGCACTCTCCTAAGCTCTGATTACTCCTAGTAATATTTATAGAATATTAAAAGAGAAATGACAAGTGCTAATTCATCAGATTTAAGAATCTAAGAATTCTTTGAGCAGCTTACGTTTTAAAACCTTCTTAGAGATTGCCACTGTGCTCCTGAGTTAGAAATTAGATTCTAAGGAATTCCAAATGCTGACAGTTCGATGATGAAAAGTTCTTTGACCGGAGGCGGTTTTAAAAAGTGGGATATTCAATAAATGGGAATTCCTGGTAGGGTAATTGCTAACGTTAGTCGGGGAATGCACATGCAATCAGGCCAATCCCCTCCCCTGTATTCTGTGAAGGGAGGGGAGGGACGGCAAGGGTTGAAGTTCGGGAATGCCCTCAGGAATTTCCTCTTTTAAAGCAAATGATCAAAGATTGGGCCAACTTGAGAGCGTGCCGTGAGTTCAGTCGGAGTGAGCTAGTGTTTCTTTAT